ACCAGATAAATGGAAATTTTTAACATATACATGATGTATACAAATGCCATATATATATATATATATATATATATATATATATATTCGACGTATGAGGGTCAAGCAGATCAGTTCCTAGGAAACCAGCAACACGACAACAGCACATGAGATTTGATTATAGTGGTGAAGGTTTTGTGCAGGACCATCCACACTTTTTGAAGGGCCCAATACAGAGACACCCCGCAGGTTTTGAATTCAGAGTTGTCCTTCTAGACCAGTTGCCATCCAAGGCTGTAGAACATGTCTGTCCTGCTATTTACCCATATATATATATGTATGTATTTAATATGTATATTGAATTTGTAGGTCAGATGAATTGGATTGTGATTACGATTCCAATGTAATAAATTATAACCACAGAATATTTGTATTTGAGCCTTTTATATTATATATTTATATGTATATATATATATATATATATATTTATTTACTATGTAAATATGTATTTAATATGTATATATATTGATATGTATATATGTATGTATATAGGTAATATGTATATATATTGATATGTATGTATATATGTAATATGTATATATATGTATATATATATATATATATGTATATATGAAGAAATATAGTCTTAAGATATTCTATATTTATGGGATAAAGTGCTCAATATAAAAGATAGAGCGTGTGTAAATATAAAAGTGAACATAGAAGTCAACACTTAGAGGTGAAAGTCTATGTCATGCTAGATGCAATCGTGGCCTGACGATAGCCTCTAACATGAAACAGACTGTTGCATCTAAGTGTTGACTTCTATGTTCACTTTTATATTTATATATGTATATATATATATATATATATATGTATATGTATGTATATATATGTATATATATATGTATGTATATATATGTATATATATATATATGTATGTATATATATGTATATATATATGTATGTATATATATATGTATATATATGTATATATATATATGTATATGTATATATATATGTATGTATATATATATATGTATGTATATATATATGTATATATATATATATATATATATATATGAATATATATGTATATATATATATGTGTATATATATATGTATGTATATATATGTATGTATGTATATATATGTGTATATATATATATATATATGTATGTATATATATATGTATGTATATATATATGTATATATATATATATATATATATATATATATATATATATATGTATATATATATATATATATATATATATATATGTGTATATATATGTGTATATGCATATATGTATATATATATATTTATATATATATATATATATATATATATGTATATATATATATATATATGTATATATAATATATATATATGTATATATATATATATGTATATATATATATATATATATAATATTTATATATACATATATATATATATATATATATTATATATATATAATATATATATACATATATATATTTATATATATATATATATGAATATTTATTTATATATACATATATATATATATATGAATATTTATATACATATATATATATATATATATGAATATTTAATATATATATATATATATATATGAATATTTAATATATATATATATATATATATATATATATATATATAATATATATAATATTTATATATATATATATATATATATATAATATTTATATATATATATATATATATATATATATATATATTTAATATATATATATATATATATATATATTTATATATTATATATATATATATATATATATATATATATATATATATATATATATAATATATATATATATATATTATATATATATATATATATATATATATATATATATATATATATATATTTTATATATATTTATATTTTATATATATATATATATATATATATATATTTAATATTTTATATACATATATATTTTATAAGGCTAACTTTAATAATATTAAGATATACATTAAAAAAGTAAAAGTGTAGATGGACAGAGAAGGTAAAAAGTTGAGAAAAAAAATTAAAGTAAAGAAGGACGTTGTGTAACCTGTTACATATTAAAAGATGCTTAAATGGTCAAAGATGGGTAATAATTATTTAACCTGAAATATTTAATGGGCAGTTGAAGATCTATCCTGAATCAAAATACTTTAGGAGGGAGCTTTTTTTATGGGTACATGCTATCATGAGCTTATGATGTTTGTTCTGCTGGTTAGGGTTGTTAATATTTTTTATGAATTTTTTTCCAGCAAACGCAGGTTATATTTTTTGCTGTGGCCAGAAAAGGGCGTTGTTTTGATGATGAAATTCCAATTTACTACTGGTGTGTAGTTATTTGTTTTGATTTCCCACTAACATTTTGAGTGTGCAGTAGCATTTGAATATTGTTTTTTAGTAAGAGTCATTTTATGATGGTATTACTGGGCCTTTCAGTAGTTTGTCGTGGAATCAAAATAAAACTTAGTCTCGCCTTTATGTTTACTGCTAGCCTTATAAATAACACCTTTATTCATACATTTATGATTTAGTGGACAGGTACTGTTTTTTCAACAATTACACTTTTTCTCTGTATTAATTGCTATTGAGGTTGTTTAAATATTTGTTTAATGTTATATTATTATGTTGTGCTGTATACTGTTCAAGTTTTTTGGTGCATCTGTAGCTAATCTTAATGTTGTTCTTGTTGAAGATTTTGTTGAGCAATGGTATATGGCTGAAATGTTTTTGGATTAAATTAAGTAAAATTTTACCTATATTCCTTTTGACAGTTTTGTTAAATGGTGGGTTAAACCAAATTATGTTGAGTTTTCTATTCTTATGTATATTGTCGGCATTCTTATTAATGTTTATGCATTCTAGCTTAACTTTGTGTTTGCTTTGTGAAAAATAATTTTTTTGCTAGAGTTAGTTGAGAGTCTGTATTGCACTGATTTGTACAAATTGTTTAAAATTCCTGTTGGGTGGTTGGATTTTTTGCTAATGTATTTATGATTATAAACCTCTTTAGTATAATGCATGTATATTCCTTTGGAATGGTTGAAAGTAGTGTCCAGAAAGTTGATCACCTTGGAATTGGTATTAGTGGTGATATTTAGTCCATGATCCTTGAATAATTTGATGTTTTCTAATTCAATCTGTTTGTTGTGTGTTGGTGTTACATAGGAGCATAATTCCACCATCTCTGTGTAGTCCAGTGTTTATGCTATTGAAAGTATACCTAAGTCTCCACAGTAGCAAGATGCCAACCAATTCACAAGCTTCTGCAAAATCAAATGCTTCCATCGCTATAGAAAAGTTTGGGTTGTCTTTTTGGTCCACATAGAACCATCGTGGTATAGGATGGGTTTTTGGGTGAACATTATTTATGAGTTCAAATGCACCTTAAGGAACTGTGTTCCTGAGTAAACTAAATTCATAAATAATTATATTGATCATACTACTACATGCCTATCCAGATGCCTTACATTACACCTATCCGACCACAGCTATATTAGAATCCATTTAAACACACACACAAACTAACCAAACTTCATCTGAAACACACTAGTAGAAAATATAAACATAATAACTTCATCCACATGTAAAAAAAAGATTAAAAATAATAGAAGCTACAATAATAAAGAAAAAGCAAACACTTAATAATATTAACTACAAATATGGCCACAATGTGCTGACTGTGTTCAGAAAATAAAACATCCCCATAACTCTAGAAACATACACCCAATAAAAAAACAAAAATAACATCATCCTTGATAATGGGTTAAAGTATAGCTGAAAGTGGTCGGAATTACAGCACATTTGGGCTGTTTCTATGCACCCTGTGTCCAGAAAAGAAAACACTTGTTAAAATACAAGAAAAATTAAATAAATTAAATTAATAGTAGTAAACATATTTTTTAAGTCTTACAAATAATGTTTTGTCTTCATAATCAATGAATGATAAGACAAAGTTCTAATAAAGAACAGATACAGTGATAAAATTTAGCAACTTGACCTTGCAGGTAATTTTCTGTGTGTGTGTGTGTATATATATATATATATATATATATATATATATATATATAAGCATTTACAAAATTAAGCATTTACAAAATTACCTATAAAGTCAGGTTTCTCAATTTTTTTCACTGTATTCTTCATCTATAACTTAGTCTTTTGTTTAATTCATTTGGATATCATAAAGTGAAAAAATGAATTATTTATAAGATAATAAATGCCTATTTTAAGAATTAAAAAATGAATAATTTGTAAGATAAAAAACAACTGGTGTCTATTCTCAACATGCTGTTGTTAGTTTCATTTTTCTAGTGACAACATACACATACTTGTGTGTCTTTATTTGCATTCATTAATTTTTTTGTATATTTTTATTTTTGGATCCTTTGACATGTGTTTGTATAGTTTTTGGCACACAATGCATAGACAAAGTCATGGGATAAAATTATAATTTTATATTTTATTATAGCATGTAACAAAAAAACTTAATTCTAGTTCATACAAAGGTAGGAAAGCATTGAGTTTTTCTTTTTGCATGTAGGAATGAATAAGTTGGTTGGTTTATTTTTAGTTTCTACTTTATTTTTTATACACAAAGATAATTTTTCTAATCCCTGTAATAATTTTTTCCATTTTCATTTTATATGCTCAATGCTAAACTCTCAATGATCATCCTCTGGAGATATGCTTATGCCAGAGCAAAACTTTTTAGTTTTCTAAGCATATTAAAACATTTATTTCCTTGAATGTTCTTATAGATACATATATTAATTTAATTTTTTTCCTTCATAGTTGTTTTATTGCCGCTACAGTGTTTGATGACTGTATTAAATAAATTCATTTTTTAATCTCTTTAAAAACACAGAAATTGAAGCAAAAATGGTCAATAAAAAATAATAGAAATTTATCGAATCACGTGACCAAGGAAAAGGTCACATGATTAAGGTCATATGATTATCAAGATGGAGCCGATCCCAACGTAGCGATTGAATGATTTCATTGGGAGGCGGTGAAGAAATGAGTGTGTTTGAAGCTATTAAGGATAGATTCCAGACTGTTCAACAGGACCTCTCAGTCGGGTAAGAATAGAAAAAATGCAAGCCATTTCATGTTGTCACTCTGCCATCTTAATTTTTCCCGTTTCCATTGCAAGAAAAAAAAAAGAAAGAAGAATGATCTCTAATTTGTTTTGGTGTTATTTTATCATTAGTTTGACTTGAATGAATAATTAAATAACTAGTTACTACATTCATATTATTAATCATTAACACTGCTTATTAGAAAACTATAAATTTAAATGATCTTTTATTTTATAACTGGAAAAATATGTATTGTAAAGAAAGGAAAGGCACAGTAAAACGAATTTTAAGAACTAAAAACGAAAAAAAAGTGGAAGTATTTTTTTAAAATTGTATTTGAAGAACTCTGCATTTTTTAATTGTGATCACATCGTGGACGAACACACTTCATTTCTTCTCTCCATGAATAACGTTTTTTGATTGTTTGTAGGACATGCTACTTTTAGTGTCGAGCAGGCTGCCGAAGAAAATTTTGCCAATTTATTTGCGACATTTCTCGTCCTCTTAGTGTACTGTAAAACTTAAAATAATAAATAATAATAATATTGTTTTCTTTCTTACGATTACAATTACATGCATGATGCAAGATTGATAATTCTGTTGTTAAAAGTGAATTGTAAACAAAAAACAAATACTTGTTAGTTTCATTCATCTTTTCAGTTACTTCCTGACTGAAGTAAGTTAACTTGTAAGTAGTAGTTACTTAACTACTTAGTCCTATACTTTATTGACACGAAAAATAAAAATTAATGTAAAAAAAATGTTGTTTTTAATGACCAAAACAATTTCTACGGTAGTCTCCCAACTCTGAATTGCCTTCCTAAAAACTCTATATTTATTTACCTTGCCTCATAATTTAGAAATAAAGCATGATTAGACTCCGGAAGAACAATATTCGTGATTTTTATTTTGTTTTAGTTCGCAGAGATTTTTTAAGTAGTTATGAGTTTAAATAATGTATTTCAGACGTTATTTCTAATGCATAACTTCGAGTTTAAATTCAAAGGTGAGCTCTGATAAGACTAGGTAAAGAAAGAAGTAGGGCAGGTATTTAAATTTAATTTAATCAACAACAATAATACAAATTTTTAAAATTCATAAAACTCAGTTATACAAATTTACAAGCTTTTTGTTTTTGTTGTGATTTTTGCAACATAAAAAGAATCCATATTTATCTATTTCACATAATGATAAAACAAATTTAATAAGAATTTTTAAAAAGATAAATATTTTGTTTTTCAGCGTTATATTTTTTTTTACCATTTTTAGGAAATAAGAAACTGTTTTCGTTGTTTTTTATATTTTTAAATAATATCTATCTTCTCAAATTTTAAAGTTAAATAAAAAACGTAACGGATAATACGCACTAGTGAAAAACCGAAAGTATCGCAACATAAGGTCAAGGACCTTTAAGGAACACTTGTTTCTTAGAACAGGTCGAGTGCCTAAAATAAAATGGGTAAATTTGCTTTTTAACACCCGCGCTAAATATCTCTTAAAATGTTCCAAACCGTCATAATTCCGTGTAAATGTACATACTGAACTCGATTTATTAACAATTAAATTATGAAGAAACCTAGAGTTTTGGAGTTATCGACAATAAAAGTTCAAACTCGGTCGTTTCAGCTGTCGGGCATTACTGGCCTTATTTAACTACATTCACTGCTGAACATTTAGCGCGCGGAGGTTTAATTAAGAGCCTTTTTACTGCTCTTAACTGAATTTACTCGTTTAAAATTACTCCGCATTTAAGTTACGTCGTAAAGCGGTGGTGTTTTTTTTTTTTTTTATAGTAAATCTTTTTAAATAAAAAGAATTAATAAAATGAAGCTTTTCTTTTACATTAAAAATAAAACAAATAAAAAATCATGCTCTTTCCGAAGAGTTTGTGCATTAATTATCATTTCGTTTCTAGCATTTTTTTAAAAATTTTATTTTGTAGATAATCATGCTCTTTACAAAGTTGTGCGATTGCATGATTTGAACAAAATAATCACTCATGTAAAAAGAAATAATGCAAAAAAAATAATTAAAATAATGCTGTTTAAAACTTTCACTAACACTGACATAATGGTTTTAAAAGATTCCAAATGAATTTCAACATGCAAATTACAAATTTTGATACCAAAATCAAACGAGTACAACTGGGAAGTGTTTTTTTAACAGAGGACGGAAAGTGCAATATACTGAATGAAATCCAAAGGCCCATTGGGATAGCCAGATGCTTTCCAAAAGCTAAGCAAAGTATTAAGAAACAGAAAAATTTCGTTAGAAATAAAGAAAAGTGTACTGAACTGTCATGTGATATCTATCCTTATGACAGTAAATGCTAATGAAGAAGAGACTCGAAGCAATAGAAATGTGGTTTTACACAGAATAATGCTGAAAATACCATGATGAACTGAAAATATGTAAGCAATGACGAAGTTTTAGAGAAAATGGAAACAAAAAGGACACTTATACTTAACATCAGAAAGAGATAGTTGAAATTTCTAGGGTGCATAATGAGGAAAGAGGGCTTGGCAAATTTGATACTTACAAGAAAGACTGAATGAAGGCAAGAGGGACTAAATGTTTCAAATCGATTTCATCTGATTTACATTTTGAGGTGAAAAATAAATGCTAAATAAAATTTTTGTTACCATAGGAAAAACAAAAGAATATGGTCTGAGGCAAAAATGAACAAATATTCACAATCCCAAAAATGAAGGATGGCATACAAGTTCATGATCAAATTTTTAAAGGTAACAAATAGAAAGGTAAAATAAAGGTGTTTGCAAGACAGAAAATTTAAAAAAAAAAAAATAAGTATCAATAAGCGTGTTTTTTTTTTTTTTTTTTTACAAGCGACAAGGGCAACATTTACATGCATATTATATTTTTTTTCTTTAGAGTTCACAGTTCAAATGTCAACAAAGAAAATGAACAATTCATATTAGCATTCTTTATGAGAAGAAAAAACAATACACAATTTTCAATTCTTTCTCTGGATAACTGAAGAATAAAAGGTGTTCAAACTTCTTTACTGAAGGTAATTACCTTTGCAATATTTAGCGACACTGTGAAGGTTGGCCTAATTTACAGGTGATGTGGTCTTCTCTTTGGTGTCTTCTACACTTTCAACTGGACTAGCTCAGAGGTAGACATTTTTTTTGTTTGTACTTCTCATTGGGTAGCAGGATATTTTCAACATTGTTTCGAAAGGAAAAACATATCTGTAGCCTTGTTCTTTGTGAAAATTCAGGCATCTATAGCTGGGTTTAAAAACTTGAATTGATGTCAGCAACATATGCCAACTTCACGGAGTGAAGAATTTCTTCAAATTAACTTCTTGTAAAATGTCACTTTCTCCTGGAGAAGCTACTAAACAAGTAGCAACATTTTTATTTAGTCTCAGACTAAATAAATTCAGAATATAAAAATTCCTTATTATGACTAAATGGTATAAATAATGAAATGGTTTTTAACTCAGAACCTGTCTAAGATTTATTACTGACTAGCAGTAGAGCCTGGCGTTGCACGGGGATATAACAGTAAGAGATAGATCAAGTATCCACCATCATAAAGACTGAAAAATAAGATTGACAAAGATTATTGTTTAAGGTTGACGGACACGCATGTCTTAATTAGTTTTTTTTTTTTTTACGAATTGGTCAAACCCAAACTCAAACAAAAACATTGTTTACATTGTTTTCAGTCTCTACCGATTGAATAGAATTTTATTATAAACAATTGTCTTGTAAATGGAATTTTTAAAGCATTCTGAATGTAAAAATAAAGAAAAAAGTGTGCAAGACAATAAGAAACTACATGCCAAAAAAAAAAGTGAAGTTTTGTTGAAATCAGTTGAAAAATGTAGGTAGCCTTTCTGTAATCTTTTAGTTTTACAATTTATGATTTTTACTTATTGAATACAGTAAAAAAAAATTGCATATTTTGCTTGTGGTGATTCATAATTAGAACTCTGATTTGAATATATTTTCCACTCGTTGTTTCTAATACAAAAAATATTAACTTTATTTGGGTTTATTAATTATGATCTAACAAATCTTATTCATTTAGTAGCCTTTCTGCAATAATAATCTTTTACAATTTATGATTTTTACTTATTGAATACAGTAAAAAAAATTAGACACCATGTGTATTTAAAATAGTTTCCGGTTATTATTTTTAGTTAGGAGGACTTGTGTATGTTTAGATTTCATTATCTTTCCCTAAAGATAAAGAATTATCCGATGTTTGGATTCATACAATCAGTAGAGATCGTTAGATTATTGTTTACGGTTGACGGACACGCATGTCTTAATTATTTTTTTTTTTACAAATTGGTCAAACCCAAACTCAAACAAAAACATTGTTTTCAATCATTATGAGTCTCCCAATTGAATAGAATTTTATTATAAACAATTGTCTTGTAAATGGAATTTTTAAAGCATTCTGAATATTAAAAATAAAGAAAAATGTGTGCAAGAGAATAAGAAACACTACCTGCAAAAAAAAAAAAAGAAGTGAATTTTTGTTTTATCGGCTGAAAAATGTAGGAAATCCGATCCCATATATAAAGGAATACACACTCACAAACAACTTGGGTTTTTAACCCGATGTGAGTTGTCCCCCTTTCATTCACATGATGTCTCTTAATTGTGTTTTCAAATTGATTTTGTGCAAAAACAATTGTATTTTTCCCATTCTTGGCGCTGTTAGAACCACCGCAAGGTAATTTTATGTAGTCCTGAGAAGTTTTGTTGAAATCGGTTGAAAAATGTAGGAAATCCGATCCAATATATAAACGTTACGGACACACACACACAGCGTTTTATAATAAGTAAGATACAGTAATTGTGGCACAAGGTTGATCATCACTAGCTATATTATACCTAGCTTATCAGATTCAAAACTCATTCATTTGTTACAATATACTCATTCACCATAAAAATTTATCCATCACCATTCGCTCATTCAAATACCTCACACTTACACTGGGCACCTACTGTCTTAAG